AGGCTGGCTGGGGAATTCTGGGAGTTGAAGTCCACCCATCTTCAAGTCGCCAAGATTGAGAAACACTGGGCTAGCCGAACCCCCTCCCTGGTGCAGGAGTCTCATTTAACCACATTCCCAACAGATCCAGCCTCTGTTTAAATCTCAAATCCCGGGGTCAGGCTATGTTTGGTTGGTTGTCAGAGAGACAGACAGACATCCTGCAGAAGCTCGCATTCTAACTTGGTACGATCTGTTTGGATCAGTGAAATCAGCAGTGGAAAACAGCTTCTGGAGTTAGGCTGTAATTCAAATCCTGGGTGAAAACTGTACGCCAAGCCAGATGTTTAATTTTTTACAAAATAATATTTAAAAGATTGTTTTAATCTTGGTGGGCTGAACAAGCCAAGCTTTCCTGGTTTGTTTAGCCATATCCTGGCTGCTTTTCTGCATTTTGCCTTCCAACTTTAGAAGACGTAGGCTCAAATCTCATTTCAGGGATAACTAGCGAGCCACAGTTAAAACAAGGCATGATTCAACCAGCCAGCGAGCGATGGTTTTGAATGATTGTTTGTGGCTAAAGTAAGTCGGCTTCTATCCTGGTATGAGTTTGGATCTGATGATAAATCCAGAGTCCCACCAAGACTCATTGCAGTGCATGTGAGTCAGGTCTGAGGGCAGGAACTTCTTTATCGTCCAAACCGATGTGTCTCTGAAACAAACTTTGCACTCTTCCTGCATTGCAGGCCTGGGACGTCACGGTGCGCACTTGCGCATACACGAACCACACCGTGCTGCCGGAGGCACTGGAGCGCTGGCCCATCCACCTCTTTGAGACCCTCTTGCCGCGTCACTTGGAAATCATCTATGAAATCAACCAGCGTTTCCTCGACGTGAGCGCAACCTCACAGAAAAGATCAGGGCATCCGAGCTCCCGGGGCACCAGCTCCAACTTTTTGCCAAACTGCTAGTGGGTTGGGTAGTAAGATGGAGCAATACAGGCTGCTCCTGGTCAAGGGGCCAGCCAGCCAGCCAAACCCATTTCCCGGATACTCCATTCCGCTTGGTTTTCTGTTCTCTTCCTTCTCCCACCTCTCAATCCCAATTTTGACCACCGAGGAGATCTAGTGTTCTCCAGCTGTTTCCAGGGCTTAGGGAAGGGGGGGACAGTTTCTCAGTGTTGGCAAAGTCCAAGGTTTCACCACCCCTCTCGAGGCCGTGTACATCTGCACAGAGGGAGGATACGCCCTATTCCTTGGGAAACGAGATCTCGGCCTTAGGATACCCAAGCAGGCCTGTTGCCACAATTTGCATGTGGAGGCCAGCAGACTCAAAATCCGGCTATTCCATTCCATTCATTTAATTTATCCTCAAGGAATTGGTTTTCCAGAAACGGTGAGCGTGCTTCAGGCCCGGTAGGATTTGGGGAGGGGTTCCTCCCTTAAATGTGTTGTTATCCCCAATTTTGTAGGTTTGATTCTGCAACGGTTCGTTCCCATCTTCCGCTTAGATGGTGCCATTTGGGTCGTGAAGCGTTTGCAACCAAGATGGTAGAAATAAGGAAACCATCTTCTCTTCCAATATGAGCTGACCAGATATTTTTTTAAAAAGGGATGAAATAATAATAATAAAAACAACACCCACCCAGAGATTATTTGGGGCAGCCTCCTCTGCAGTCCTGTTGCCATGTCAGGTTCTGTGGCTGATGTTTGTGTTCACACAAAATGCTGAACTCTGAACCCGGGTTAGCAAAATGCAAGATCTGTTCTTGCATGATACCCCAGGCCCAACTAAGGGACCATTTTCTGGCTTTGTGAGAGAACCCCAGTTTGCAGAAGATGCTAAAACAGTGAGTTGATTCCCAAGATGCGGAATACTCAACTCTAGTTTAGCCTGGTGTTGTGTGAACCCAGCCAGGGAGTAGCCAAATTAGTCCATAGTGCTATGTTCTGATTTGTTTTAACCATGATGCATTGAATAAGCTGCAATTGGATGGGTTTACTCACAACAGAGGTAGCCCATAATGGTTGCATTCCCGTGCCAATCGTAAGACAAAGCCCCATGCGGGCGTTGTGTGAATCCAGTCAGTTGGGATGAGTGTCTCATCAGCCTCTTTGGGATGACCCTGTCTTCTGCAGAAAGTCTATGCCAGTTTCCCGGGAGACCTCGACCGGCTGCGCCGTATGTCCATGGTGGAAGAAGGAAGCGTCAAACGGATCAACATGGCGCACCTCTGCATCGTGGGCTCCCATGCTGTCAATGGAGTGGCCCGCATCCACTCCGAGATCCTAAAGGCCACCGTGTAGGTATCTGGAACCTCAGAGCTATGGGAATTAGTTCCCACACAGTCAGAGAAAACAAGAGGATAGCAAATTGGACTGTTCTCAAGACCAGGGACAAATGGAAACCAACGGGCTCTCTTGTGCAAAAGAGGGGGCCGGGCAGCCCACCGAAATACAACATGAATGAGAAGGAGGTGCAAAAGGCTTTGGCTATTACCTCCATAGCAGTGTTTCTCAACCTTGGTAGCTTTCAGATGGTTGGGCTTCCATTCCCCGAATTCCCCCCCCCCCCCACGCCGGCGCGGCGCTCCTGG